ATTATATATAGTCTTCGATGTTCTTGTTAAATACAAATTTAACAAGTTTTTCTTAAACTAAAATAATTTTATGAAATTCAAACACTGTATAAATATACTAAACATTAAATAAAGTCTTATGTGACAGTAATTGGTTGAACATAAATTGTGAGAAACGGTTAAGTTAATTTGGTTTATTAATTAATGATTTATTGATCGAGTAAACGAGAATATAAACAAAACTTTAAAATAGAAACCAATGAAGTAATATTCTGTGTATATTTGATGAATAATAAATGTTATTACCTATTAAAGTTTAATTTGAAGTAAATAAATATTGAAACCATTATTTTTTTTTCAATTACAACTATGAATAAACATTGAAGGTTTTCTGTATGTATTAATTTATTAATATTAACCATTTTTTTTTTTAACTTTAGACATATAATTTTTTATACCCTTCATTATTTTCAAGAGATCAATGAATAATAATTAAGCAGTCTAAAATATTTGAAAGGTACATTGGTATTTTGGATTTTTATTCTATTTTAGAATTATTTAGCTGTGATATGATTTGTCATAAAGAATGACGAGACAAAAGTTTGATCTGAAATTTAGTTTATTAATTCATAAAAATACAATGTACATTKTACATACTTTTATCATAAAACGAGTGAGAATGTAACGAGTGTCTGTTTAAAGAGAGTGAGTGTTTCAGTGATATTGGAATTTTTATTTTTAGATGAATATTTTTTTGAACAGTAAAAAATCTAAAAAAAATGTTTTATACGGCAGCTTTGATTGAACACTGATTGCACTTTAGATTGGTCAATTTCAGGAAAACGCTAAGAACTGCGAAAAGAGCTAGTGAAGAAATGTAATCAAGCAGCCGTTTAGAGCTTCGCTGAGAATGGTTTTCCAAATACAATGATATATTTCATTCCTTTCAAATTTAATGACACCCACTTCAACTAGCCACCCAACTCCTATATATCACGTTTTCTCGTTTTAGCGGCATCCCATTATGACTTTAATAATATCGTATCTTTCAAATTGGCTAGTTAGAGTAGTCCTGCAGAAATTGATATGAATTTAACTAATTTAAGTGTATAAAATAATCAATGTACATTTAATATTTATTACCATTAAAACATAAATACTTGTGTATTATAGTGTATATTATAGGTGTTAAACTTGAACGCGAAACAGTATTATTAATTTTTTTTCTGATTGAGCACGATTTTAAGGCCAGTCTAAGTGATATTTTCGAAAAAATTATAAGTCTTCGGTTTCGAAAATTATTTATGCAAACTTACGTACGATATTAATCAAAAATATTTTATATTTTAAGAAAACAGAAGATAATCTTTTTTTTGTCATTTTTATTATTGAAATGTGAAAAGTATAATACGTGTTTATTTTCTAATTAGATTAAAACTTTTAGAACTTTTCCCTTGACCTAAAAAGTACACGTACCTAATTTATTATACAACCAGTGACTATACCTCTCCAAACTTACAGTCTGACATTCGTACGTACATGTTTTCAGTAATTATATTACTATTTCGTAACCACACGTAACTTATTTATAGTTAAATATCACCTGTGGAGTTTTCAATCGAAATGCTTCTACTCGAAAAGCAAAATTGTTTTAAATCAATTACATTCACATATTATGCAGACGAGGCGCGCATAATACGTCGAACGAGATATTATATTATTGCATGTGAGCCAAATAAATACGTAACATAATACTATTACGTTAACCAAAGCCATTTTTCAACCGACCAACCGTTTAATAAWTATTACTAATAATCGAACGAAACCATTACGGGTGATTCAGAAACAGGCCTAAAACGATATCGCGCTGTGTAGTATAATATAATACGTACATTATTTTTGGAATGAAATACACTCYGTCAAACAAATACGAGTATTAATTGAATGTTTAACGTTGGAARACTCGAGAAACGAATACCACGTAAATTAGGAGAAGCCTTAGAACTTCAATCGAATATTAACATTATCATATTCTTAAAGGAAATTAAATCATAGAACCTAATTTAAGCATAAAACTTACTGCGAACTATATGCCATTTGAACGTGCACCAATAACCTAATGACCTATATAGAAGCCGATGATTAATTATTATCATAATATTATATTATGTGGATGYGCACAACGAGTTACACACTCGGTCGTGTGTGTGTGTGGCGGAGAACGTTGAGTGAAATAATTAATARTAATAATAATAAAAACCACTCGCACACAAATAAGGTAGGTACGTTGATTTCGACACGAACGGAATTAGTTTTGCATACACACTGCGCCGTGTTACACGGTATTTTGATCATTGTGGCGCGAAGCCAACAATGACTGTACGTACAATGTACATTTTGTATAGAACGTTGTTGTTTAAATATTATATTATATTATTTTGACATACCCGTTGGCAATTTTTTGCTCGCCCTACTCGCGCGACGCCCGTAATTGTTAATCTGATGGAGCTACGTAATCCGTTTAATCYCGCATATATATACTGCATGTATAGACGTTGCCTATATATTTGTATATACACGATATTATATTGAGTTACCCCGTACCCGACTATACGTCGTGTTTATTTTGCCACTGGGAACCGTTAAAAGGTGCTCGAAACGTTTTCGACAAACGGGCGCACTAACTAATTTCGAAAGACAATATGTTAAATATGATTACGTGGCCGGCCAAAAATTAAATTACGTTTTGAATATTAATTGTGTTGTATACAATAGGTACCCGGTACGTTTTTCGCAGACGCGGCATACAAAAACAAAAAAATAAAAATAAAATAAAATATATTATATATAATATGTAATAACGATCGCAAAAATATCCGCGATAATAATATTAAAAATAAATGCACACACGAAATTCGGTCGCAGATTAAATATGCATCGCCGTTCTACATATTCTGCCGAAATCAATTAAATATTAATGGTTTTTCCGTGACCCGCAGTGAATATGCGTTTTACATTGCAGCAGCGCACCTTCGCAGACAACGCTTGTTATACATATAGTAATAATATTATAACGTCATCATCATCATCATCATCATCATCGTCGTCGTCATATCGTACGTGACCCGGTTTCTTGTTTCGATTTATATACATTGTCTAAATCATAATTGCATTTGGGTAAATATTTATTGCGCGCCGACGACGGCCGAAATTCGATTGATCGAAGCACGTCCCGCACGTGTTGGTATAACGCACCGCGCTAATTCGGCGACCGGGGCACGGATGAACCCRACCGATGCCGACCTCTCCCTGATCCACGTCGGTATTTATAACGACAATATTATTAATTTAACGGTCGATTATATCCATAATAACAATAACAATAACCTCGGTTAAAATCAGGTGGTGTCGTACCGGGTCAACGGTATTAACGGCGGCGGCGGTGGCGATAAAAACTTGGCAGAATAATATTACGATCCTATATCCGCAGGGTGTGCTCTAATCATTCGGAATTGGAAAATGTCAGGTTACGTATTTCGCGGTACCTACTCTATAGCTCAGTGCGTTATTATTTTCCATTCACTGGTGTTTTATTTATTTATTTTTATAATTTTATTTGGCTACTCAAAAACTATATTAAGACAAGTATTATACGTGTTCAAAAACTCGGGTGGTTAAAACGGCCGTCAAAGTGGAAATGGTTAATGAACTAAAACCTATATACTACGAGTTTAATAGTCTTAATAATATGTATTTGTTATGATTGACATAATATTATATATACATTCTCTGATTTAGCTAACTAATTACAACTAAATGGAAATTAATAATCCAATTATTAATATTGTTACGAAACAGTTGTAGATATCTCGACGGCATTGTACTATTAAAAATGGAAATTTCATTTTTAACATAATATACAATTTGATTTTAGAAAATAATAATGATTTTAAAATACTAATCTGAAAAGTAATTATTAACAGATAAATACGTTAGACACCTTTGACATTATAGATAATAGCTAAAAGTGTTGTAGCAGTGATAAAATCTTAAATTAATTGGATTCAATATCATAATAATATAAATTGATTCTTTATAAAAAGTTTCATGATATGCAGAGTTTTTCATTTTCAAAAAACGAAGGTTCTAAAGATATTGTATTAACTTTAAATAAATTAAAACTTAGCTATAAAGTATATTTTAAATAAAGTTTATAATAATATTAAAGTTATTTATGCTATACTTTATCTTTTGAGACATTAGTTTTAATAATATTAAATCCTGAAGGAATTTTTTTTTCAAATAATTTAAAATATAAACAAATATTATCACATAAAATATACAGTATTCAAAATATAAAAATAGTTATTTTTTATATTTAATTATAGTCATAACAAACAGATAATATTTTTTGTTAAAAAATTAATTTATTTTGAAGGAAAAATCCAACAGTTTCCATAGACATTATTATATAGTTTCTTCGTCATAATATCAATTTATATTAAATATTATCATTAAATTTTAATGAATATAAAAGGTTTAAGGTTTATTCGGTAAATTGTATGCTTGAGCGAGTGCAAAATTGTGTCTACTTTGTACTTGGTTATTAAAATATACATGTATTATATATACTTTAATCATATATTTTTATTCTTATATTTATTTAACAAGAACTACCCATTTTATCTTTTTGGCTTTATAATTAATATAGAACGTATCMTATTATTATTATACTAAATATTCCACTATATACAGTTTCAAAATTCACATTATATACGTTAAGATTCAATGTTTTTTTAAATACATAATTTTATGTACTATGATTACATTATAATGTTTTAATTTGAATATTTATCAAAAAGAAATAAACACATCTCGAAAATATTATAATTATTTATGTACTACCTACTGTATATTATAGTTCWTTGTTGGCAAATATAAAACTAGTTAATCTAAACTGAACTCGTTTTAAATTTTAAATTAGAGTACACAATAAATAAATAAWCATATTTTAAATTTACCTCGATAATTGGAGTAGGTGGAGGTCCAATATCCTGGTTTATYTCGTCGGGTTTTTTTTCTTTGAGAGCTTTCACGATTTTCCATTTACTGCCACTCTCTTCTTTATCTACTAAATCGTTTTTATCAAATTTAAACCTGGGCAATGACGGTGTACCGGGACTTTCATCCTCTTCGACGACCATTTGTTCGTCAGCCGTTTCCGTTTCCGGTTCTGGTTCCTGTTCCGTTTCCAGATCTAGGTCTTGACCTGGAAGATCTCTTTTAATGCCACCCGGAGTATCCGGTACTTTCATTAACTTGAACTTAATAGGTCCATCGTCTTGTGTTAATTCCTCTTCAATGACCGTATCCAAGGATTGCTCTTGTTCGAAAGCGTCTTCGTTGAAAGATTCATCTACTGATTGTCTTCTTATGTCTTCAATGGCTTTCGACATTTTTTCTTTAAAATCAACTTTAGATATAAGTACGGATGATTCACTTCGGGCACTGGGTGTTGGTAACATAGGTGGACCGAATACACGTTCAAAATGAGTTTTTTTTTCTAGTTCTTCTAATTGTTTTAGTTCATAACAATACCATTCATCGTCACTATCGATGCTTTCTTCAGTACTTTGCCGTCTAGACGAAATTCTAGATGTACTTCTCCATGAATGGTTGCTTCTACTGTCATCTTCAGTGTCTGCGGATCCTTTGCCAGCCCACGGTACCTCTAAACTTGCTTGTCTAGATGACATTTTGAAATTTCTTGTATTATTTGTTGGCTGCACAAACTCTTCGTGAGGTTTAAAAGGCTGTTCTTCTAATGATTTGTTACGTTTTTCTACTGGGATTACTGACGATTCACCTTCTGGCGCTCCATTCGAAAGCTTACAGTGTTCTCTGTATTTACTCAACTTTCTAGACACGGCAAATTCTTTAGTCGGGCCATTGAACATTTCAGCTGGTAACTGAATTTCGTTAATCTGTTCTTGTACCTCTTCTTCCTGCTTCTCTACAGTAATATTAGCTGGCTCTGGTGGTTGTAGGGGTGGTGGTTCTGGTGGTGTTGGCCTATCTCCAGCTTTTAACTGAGTCCATTCATTTTCCGCAAATTCCGGATCTGCTATTGAATAGGAGCTCTGAAAAGGAGCAGGTTTAGCGGTTTTATGTAACAGCCCAGACATGGTAGACACAATTGATTTTTTTTTCTTACGACTACCGTGCCTTTGTGTGTTCCAACTACGCGGTTTTGACGTGGTCGCTGTCTCACTGTGCACGGAAACCGCGTCGGGTTCCTTTTCCAAACCACCCGGAAGTGAATGAGATCGATGCCGTTGTGGCAGGTGAATATCTGGAAACCAATTACTTACCGAACTACTGACTGTGTTCATAGCCGATTTGATTATGTTACGCTTAGATTTTTTTGTTTTTTCTTCTCGCCTTGAACCATCATCTTCACAACGAATCTGAAAGTTAGATGATGCCATATACCTATAGCGAGGTTGATTATTATCCAGCCTGTCGTTTTCTCTACCATAATATGTATCGTTAATGGTGTTTGGATAATAGGTCAACGCATCTGTAATACCAGGATACCGTGGTTCCGAGGGTTTTTTGTATTCTCTGTACGACATTACGTCCAACAGGTCCGGTACATTAGATATAGATGACTGTTTTGTATTAGTAGTCTGGTACTTATACCCTTGACCAGCCGTCGAATACACACCTGTCGATCTATCGTAGTATGGATAATCGGTATCAAATGCAGTGGTTACGCACGTTACTACCGTTAATCCGGACGGACCAGCCATCGAAATCTGATACGATTGRTCAAACACTCGCTTTCCTGGTGAACATGGAGATTTTTCGTAGCTGGACAACAATCCACCACTCATTGATGACAGACCAGAATCAGATTTATTGGCCACGACTATAGCACCAGATCGGTGTTGGTGTAACACGTCCAAATCTTTGGAGGAATTATGAAATTGGTGCATAATGTCGAGATCCTTAGAAGAATTGTGAAACTGATGTAGCGAATTAAGTTCTTTGGTAGAATTGTGAAATTGACGTAAACTCAGTGACAGTGCGGATGATAGCGGTCTAGGAAATACGGGATCCTCGGGTGCTGGAGGTGGTGGACTTCCGGGTGGAGATTGTGGCCGATACGAGTTATCCATGTAAGTCGGTTGGGACGTTGTATCCATAAATAACGTCGGTGACCTGTACTCGGGTTCTTCGCATTTAGGGATCGTGGGTAGCGATCGAATGGACGGAGAAGTATAAGGATACATACGATTTTGTAAGTTTCCCACTGATGACGTGAGTGGCTTGTTAATTGGATAAAAATCTAGAGCAGCTGCCGCTCTTTCCGTTTCGTCGTTCCAACTGTCCAACTGGGCTTCGGCGTACAGTTGTCGCATGTTTCTCTCCATTTGTTCTATATTTTCGAATATCTCTTTGGCAGACTCGACGGAATCCATTTTTTCCTGGTCTTCATTTAATAACCGATCTTCATACGTCCTATAATCTACGTCCCTCTGTTCCGACGGCTTTTTAGTACCATTACTACTGCTGCCTTCCGATTCCTCCCATATCATACTTAGTGCGGGGGGGCGGTCACCAATTTCCGGTGGTCTCATGTATGTTGACGGGGATGTAATCGGATCTGCACATAACTCAACCATTTGCCCAATGACGGACTGTTGATTCTGTATAATGGTTTCTAGTTTTTCGATACGCTCCCACATTTTCACGTACTCGTCTGACAATAAGTCTAATGCTCGCCATGCGTACATCACTTCGTTCTCCAACACGTTAACGCGGGGTGTCATTTTATCGATGAACTCATTTAGTGCAGCTTCTACAGCCTGTTGGTCGCCGTAGACGGCAGTGGTTGCATTTGTGGTTGTAGTGGTTATGATGGTGTTGGCGGTGGTGGTGGTGGTTGGTCTGCCACCACCATTCCGATTTTGTTCCGGTTCCATGTTGGTGATATAGCTAAAGTCAGTGCATAATATCAGTCAGTCGTGAATAGTGCTCTGCTTGTTGGTTGGCCAACACCGTAAATAATTTGAGAACTATATTTATTGCTGAAATAATAAAAACGAAAACGAATTAATAAATATGATGGGTACAAGTTACAATCGGGACGTTCTTTACGTGTGTAAAAATAAACTCATGACAGATAGATATTGTCATGTTACTGACGTAGAACTTGTGGTTTTTATATCCATTTAAGTGTCGTAAACTTTTTTTATGTGACTTCACTCGACGCTGGTTACCCCAAAAGAAGTAGGTTTTTAAAAGTTAATCTTTTAGAAAAGATTCCACAGAATAAATATTTAGGCGTGAATTAAGAACATCTAAGACCCCACGCACTTCCCAGTCACCACAAAATGACTTGGTTTCATAAATAATCGAGCATGGCGGCATTTCGGGAGACGATAATGATAAATTACTGTCATAAGCTATCTCGATTCACCAAAACTTGGGTTTTTTTATTCTCTCCTTCTCTCTCTCCTCTCATACACCATCGTATTTTATACGGCCATAACCACCGGATATATTGGCCTATGTTAAATCCAGTAAGATGATCGATTTAACTCTAATAACGGGAATTTATATTTTATACTGGTAAATAGACCGTATTAAAATCAGGAATGGAATAATATACATACATATATTATACACACACATATATATATATATATATATTATGCTAGCTTACGGAACAACAATCACTCGTTTAGATCAAATGTTATAATTTCGATTTTCAGCATGTAAAGAACGTCTGYAGAATACCTACAAGCAATATGTTAAAAGTTTCTTACCTTTGACTCGAAGTGTCATCGTTTTGGCATCTGATTTCATCGACTGTCGGTTGCACAGCGAAACGTATTAAGTACCGAACGAGTGGCTCTGATGATATCGTTTAAGCAGCGGAGACGTAAAAAACACACGTACGTCAGGCTTTTGCCGATAGGGTGRAAACAAAAAGAGTACTGAGACACAATACGGGGAGCAAGAGTTCGGCATGCGTTTTGCCTTCTTCACCACTATTATGCATGACGAAAATCGATGTTGTGCAACAAGAGAAGTGTGTATTTTATTTTTACAATGGCTTGCATTGACAGCAAAATCGATTTCGGTGGGGCGTTGTTGGTTCGTGTAATACAATATTGTTTATATTTTTCGGAAACGCGTATCACTCCGCCGCGACACCGGCTGACTTATCCAGCGACAGCGCACCGATGTCCTCCACTCAGACGCGGCAGATACAGTCCTTCAACAGCGGCGTGTCACCGTTCAAGAGGAGACCCACATTGTCGTCGTCTCCGCCGTCGACGTCGCCGTTGGGAGTCCAAAAGTTTAATTAACTTTTTTGATTTACCAGCGTCGGCGGTTAGTATAAGTTGCGATCGTCGTCGTCGTCCCCCCCGAACCATTACATAACGATTGTGCAGCGGTAATTACTGCACCGTCACACACGGCGATGATATTATTGTAGTAACATTGACGCACGCGATTAATATAACAATATTATATTGTATGGCACACGCAACGGCTAATCTATATGTATTTGTTTTGTTTTTTTACCCGTGCAACATCACGTAAACGATGATCTACGACGCATAAAATAATATGACGTATGACGCCGTGGCGTTGAACTGCGACGATAACAATTAAAATAATATTATTATTATTTTTTTTTTATCAAAACGCACATAAAAAAAAAATTAAATTAAAAAAACCGATTGAAATTATTWTTGTACCGCAGCTACTATTAAAAAATATTTTTTAATTCAATACACGTGTATGCATGTGTTGCGACAGATATACGTGTGTGTGTAATTATAATGGTTTACAACGTATATTATATATGTATAACTGGCAGGTGGTTGGTGATCGCGCGCGTTTCACCRATATCATATATTATTATAGTGTTGCGACTCGGCAAAGTTGTTCGCGTCTCGGGCGGCGTCGTCGTCGTCGTCGTCGGCGGCGGCAAGCGAGCGAGCGAGCGCGCACATACACACGTCCGCTGGCGATCCGGCACTGGTGGCGCGCACGGCGTGGTCGGCGCAATATAATCGGGAGCGGCGGCGGCGGTTTTTCCCGGTTTCGCGCGAGCAAAGCGCCCCCCGACGGCGGCGGCGGCTTGTGGTGATYGGGGGCGAGGGCGGGGGTGCGCGCGGTTCGAGTATATACCTACCTACCTACCCCACTCCGACCCACCCCCGAACCGTTCGGCTGCCCTCGCGCGCCCCGGTCACCCACCACCGTGAGCGGTCCCTTCGGGGTGGAGAGGGGAGTAGCTCGCCGTTGCGTCTGCGGGGACTCGCCCTGCGCACCCCTCGCCACCGCTATTGATTTGTCCAAAGACCTTCCGCGTGTTTGTCGACCGGCACGCCGACGGTTCAAGACCGGCCGAGTCGCCGTCGAAGACTTCCTCGGGCCGACGACGAATTTTTCGMCGATAAAAAAATATACAAACTCAAGTATTTACACCATATAGACGTATAAATATTGAAATGTCTATGATTTAGACGCATAATGCGCATCACAACACCTGCAGACCACATACGATGATATGCATGGCGGCTATAATATGTTCCATATTATATAAAATCGAACAACGTTCGCACGTCACACGAGTGTGTTTCGAGTTTAGCATCGCGGAGCCGCCGGACGGTCGTGGTCGATTTCCCGTCGTCGAATTACTGTCACGCTTTAAGTGCGTCCTCCGCCCGTCGGAAATCATCTCTCACTCTTCTCTCCTGCTCTCTCTGTCACCCCATCACCCTGTCTTAAAAACAGCGATATTTCCCGGAATCGTATTTCAGCTTATTGCGGCGAAAGTCACGTTTTTTTTTCCTCTCTCTCTCTTATAATATTATGTATTTTTATTTATATTCAATAATATGCATATTGTTGTATCCGCATCGCAAACGCTCTCTCAAACTGATAAAGTTTCATTTTTGGTGAATTTATTCTTTTTTTTTTTCGTTTGATTGCATCGGATGTATTTTTACGCGTCGGACAATAATAACAATATCGCCGGTTCGACGACGACAGCATAATATTTTACCGTCGATTAATTTCTATACATGCCTCTAAATGACGACTCCGCGTTGATGACGGATCTCTTTCTTCGCTCGCCGCCGCCAGTCAGTTATACCATGCCACGCGATACAGTTAATTTAAAGGAATCCATTTATAGACGAGAAGCATGGCCGTGTGGACATCAAAAGACGAATTTCCKAAGTGATTCGTRTCGACTGGTCTCGTCCTCCMCCGTCCTGCTGCTATAATAATATACATCATCGATTCCGGCACGAATGCCKCCGAAAACCCATCATGTTGATAACGATTACTTGGCTTTAACTCGAGATTGTAAACACCGTACACGTCTGGCCGCGGTCTTCACATAAATATATATACTTATATAGACTACGCACATAAATATATTATACCTATATGTATATACTATGTAATAGTGACTTTCAACAAGTTGGCACGAATATTATACTTGTTTAATGATCCAACCCTTAAAGGATCACGTTTGCACTTTGTATATTATGTAAGGCATCCTGTGTGTATATGGCGTTCGATACCGAACCTACCGGGGAGGGGGGGTTGAGGCTAAAAAAAAAAATAAACTACCCTCTATGACATATTAGCCTGTGCTCGATATAATAGTAATATGTACATATTATATTTATAATGTATGTGTAAATATTGTATATTATCCTACGCACATATATAATAGTATAATATATATATTATATATATAGTGGCGATGAATAATGCGTGTACATGCGGATTTATAGGACGACGGGTACACGCTATAAAGTCTCCGAAATAAATTATAAAAACATTTCCATTCATATTTTGAATCAATTTATTTATATATATTTATTTTTTTATTCGGCTGGTCCCGTACATCAATAAAGCCGGGAATAACTAGTTGTAAAGTTTCAAACGAAAAAAATGGCATACAATTCACTGCGTTCGAAAAAAAAAACAGTGTTTACGTGTACACAGACATAATACAGCGCGCGCGCACACACACACACGCGCGCAGCTACATTTATATCCATCGAATTCTATTCGTTTCTACGATACGACGTATCGAGCAAATGAATTTTTATGTAAATATTGTGTTGGAGTGGTTTTTCATGTATACGTAATKCACTGCACACAGCGCAATGATAAGGCAGTTAGTTATTGTTTCGACGGCATGGGCACGATCGTAARACAAAACACCGTATTCAAAAATATCAATGCTTGAAGAATATCACAATATTGTCATATTAAAAACGAAAGTTGCACGTACGTATATTATAGTTGTGCGCTGTATAATTTACTATATAAAAGGATTTCGCAAAAATGTGAAAACACATAACGAAACGTATAAATAATTTAATAATTGCGTATACCCGGTTTCACCCCCTCCGCACTAATTCTGAATTTTAAATTGTTATACCAATTATATTGTTCGGAGAGTTTGTTTAGAATAAATTAAATGTATATATTGACTTTTTCATTCAATTTTAAATTCATTAGTTTTTATTTTCATTTTTATTTTATTTTAGTTTACCCACACCTATCGAATTATAATATAATAGTAATATAACCATTGTGATTTCACAGGGATTCGATTATTTAAATCAAGCAAATTAGCGCTTCATACAACCGCGCCATGAAACCCTCGCGGACAAGCCATTTTATGCAAACTTCACATCAACGTGTTAAAAAAAAAATTAAAAAAAAAATTTTTAAATTGATATTATTAACGAATCGTCGAAGCGAAATATTTCGTATTCATTACGTCGTGTATATATCTACAACCTACGTAAATATTATGGTTTTTTAATTTCTTTAAGATGGAGCTTAAAGGCGATTTTAGTCTTGCACGCCATCGAATTTGGGTAACGGGAATTCGTTTACCATCGTTAGAACATTAAACGCGCGTCTACTTAATCATTTTGTTTACGTAGCATTTGGCCTGGATCGTTAATTCTGTCGACCGTGATCATTGTGTTATTGATGATAAACGTACTGTGAAATGTGTATCGTTTTATCATCATCGAACTGTTTAAAAAATGACTTTCAAGTTTTATCACGATAATTTATTGTTCTCATAATAGTACAACACGATTCAAATACAATAATAATWAGCTACTAAAAACGTCACTTTATATATTTTTTGTTTTAAATAAACGTTTTGGAATTCCGAATGGATTTAGACGTGGACGTTTTATTCGTGTTTTTTTGTTAATAAGTGTCGTACATGATTGTTTCGTTGTAGTGTCGCTGTGAAAAGGCAGCGTGCAGCTAATTTAGAATCACTTTGTGACGGATACAATTTTAAAAACATTATTTGAAAGCAACTATTGTTATTATATTGTTTACTTTTTTATGACGAACATTACGTTATAGAAATTAACGAGGGGCAAAAACAGCTTAAATTTTGTCTGTGCGCCAAATGAAAAAAATTTCAATTTAAAAATAATTAACTTGCAGGCTTAACAACTAATAGCTAGCGTGTGAGSTATGTTTATACTATTTTTATATATACACTTGTGTAATAATATTGTCTGATGTAATATTCATTCAGTATAAAATTTTAAACGCGCTAATTCAAAGCATCATGATTTATGAGCTTTKATGTCTAAAATCGTTTTAATTTAAAGATTTATCACGTGCGTTATTCTTGGAATTAATTTTTTCCTCCCTACTCAAGGTTGATAAAAAATTTAAAGCAGCAGCAGACCGTTTAATCCTCAGATTACCTACTTATTGTGTGTTTTTCTAATTATATTCACCGGAAGGGAAGGATGAAAAGTAGTTACCCGATGAATATATAGTAATGAGTAATGACTG